TTTACAGTCTGAGGTTTTTGGGTCTGGCATATTGCCTCCTTCTGCCTTTGGCCTAGGGTACTTTGTCCAGCACTGACTTCATAACCCAGATAAGTTACTTTCTGTTTTACTACTTGGGCCTTTTTCTTTGATACCTGCTACCCTTGGAGTCCCAAAAAGTTCAAGAGGCTTACCATACAGGGCACGCATGCTTCCCTTGTCCACATGTCTATCAGGATGTCATCTACTTACTGTAGCAACTTCCCTGCCTCTGGAGGAGCTTCCCAGGTCTCTAATTCCTTTGCAAGTTGTTCTCCAAACAAAGTAGGGGACTTTTTGAATCCTTGTGGGAGTCTGGTCCATGTAAATTGAGTTCTTTGCCCGCTTTTAGGACTTTCCCATTCAAATGCAAAAATTTTCCTGCTGGCTTAGTGGATAGGAAGGCAAAAGAAGGCGTCTTTTAAATCTAAAATGGTAAACCAAGTTAGTTTGGATGTTAAGCAAGTTAATAATGTGTAGGGATTGGCCACCACAGGATACAGATCCTCAGTTACCTTGTTCACATCTTGCAGATCTTGTGCTAACCAGTATGACCCATCAGGTTTGCGAACTGGTAGGATAGGAGTGCTAAAATCAGATTGACATTCTTTTAATAATCGTAGATGCCAAAAGTTCTCAGCTATTGGGCTAATCCCTTCCTTATCCTACTTCCTCAAGGGCTACTGTTTAACCCTGACAGGTTGCTTTCCCTCTTTTAGTCTGATCTGTTTAGAGGGAGTGTTTCTTGCTCTCCCTGGTACATCAGAGGCCCATACCCCAGGGAATACCTGATTAATTATCTCTTCATCAATCTCAGTTTCTCTCATGACTTCGCTAGTGTTTAGTATCAAACTCAATACTTCTACAGACTATTGATCATTTACCTCCAGAGTCATCTCCCCATTGTTAAATGTAATAGTTGCCTGTAATTGTCTCAGCAAATCTCTGCCCAAAAGTGGCTCAGGGGAATTGGGCATATATAGAATCGTGGATCCCCTACTGTTTTCCCAGTTTATATTTTAATGGACTAAAGAAAAATGCCTTTTCAGTTTGGCCAGTATAGCCTGTAACTATAGCATAATCATCCCCTATGAGCATCAAGGCTGTATTTAGAACCGAGTACATTGCCCCAATATTGACTAGGAATTTTATTTCTTTCTCCATTGTCCCCAGCTTCAGATATACAACCAGAGGGATTGCTGGGGTAGTCTCTTCTGGTCCCCCCTAATCCTCCTGCACATGGGCAACCACCCCTCTCCTATGATTCCCTTGACCATTCTGTTTCGGTTCTGGCCCTGTCTCTTACAGTTGGCACATTGATTTCTGCCTAATCAAGGAGGGCCTTGCTTGGATGGCCCCTGCCTGCTCTCATGTTTTTCTCTCCGCTCCTCCTGCACCATTGCTATTAAGTTTTTAATCCCTCGTTTATGCCCCTCTTCCCTGTTGCTAAAGACCGTCCAAGCTTCCCCCAGTTAAGTTTCTAAATTCCATGCATCTTCTTCTTGGATTTTTTGGAGTTTGCACCTCATGTCCCCCACGGACTGCCCCAAAAATAGATTAATTAGCTGCTGTATCCCCACTTCAGATGCAGGGTCTAGTGGTGTATAGCGTCACATTGCATTTCTCAGGCAGTCTAGGAACTCTGTGGGGGATTCTGAGGGTCCCTGTTTAATAGCATATAAAGCTGACCAGTTTATAGTTTTAGGCATTGCTCTTTCCACTCCCAGTATAATCCAGTCCTGATATTTCTTTAGCCTCTGTATTTCGTCTGGGTTTGGGTTCCAGCCTGGGTCCTGAAGTGGAAAGTGTTCCCATAGATCCACTTCTTGTTGTCTAAAGTGGTTTGCTACCAGATCTCTCGCTGTTTTAAAAACCAACTGTTTTTCTGTTTCAGTGAATGCGTCTAATAACAGCGGGATATCACTCCAGTCTGGATTGTGCTACTTCATAATGTATCATAGACGTTTAGCAGTGTTTACTGGGTCATTTCGGTAATCTCCCACAACCCTTTCCCATGCTTCCAAATCAAGGGTGGAGAAGGGCACCTTCACTAATATCTTTTCCCCTCCTGGTATTAGTGTTTCCCATAGAGAGGCCTGTAATATTTGTCCTCTGGATTGGGGTGCAATTGGGCTGCTTGGAGGGTTGGAGCAGATATCTTCTGTAAATTAGGAGGAGCAGAAGTAGTAGGAGGGATAGGAGGAGTAGAAGTAGTAGGAGGGATAGTAGGAATAGGTGGAATAGATGGAATGGGGGGTGCAGGTGGAATAGGTGGTGTAGGTGGGATAGGTGGAATAGGAAGCAGTGTAGGTGGTACTGATGTCCCTCCCAAGTCTCCACCCCTCCCCCCCTGCCCTCCCAAGTGAATGCTAAATAGGTTGCCTAGATCTTGTTCTTGTTCTTCTAGTGCTGTGCAAGACACTTTATCTGTTCTGGTGCACTTCTGTCTTATGCTACAGGCCGAGCAGCACCATTTAAGTTCTCCCATTTTGCTTCTGTTTTCTTTCTCAAGAGCCAGAACGAGGGGGTCAGAGAGGGGCCCTGATGCCTCAGTCCCTTTGCCAGTCAGGGTTATTTTGGAGGGAGAAGAACATATCACAATAGGAAACCTCTTCCCATTTCCTTTCCCTTTGTAGAAATAACATTAGCTGTAACAGGGTATTATATTCTAATGTACCTGTAAGAGGCCATCTGGCCCCCTCCTCTAGGCGATAGAGTGGCCACCAATGGGAGCAATATTCGATTAAACTTTTTTATTTTCTATGTCCCCTTTGCCTGCTATTTCTTTCCAGTGTGCTAAGACACATCCTCGTGGGCTGGCCTTGGGTACTTCCTTACTCTGTTTTGCTCCCATTATGTCTTTGAGAGCAAACTTAACTTATTCAGTTCTGAATGTTCAAATATAAGTCACAGATAAAAGGGATAAAGGACCCCTTTTTATTTTTTAGTTATTAAAATTAAAATATTAATAAAAATATAGTTATTCAAATAACAAAAATAAAATATTAATAGCCAAATTAATAATCCATAATACTTTTGACATTAGAATATTATTGTATTAATTAATTAACCATCAATTGTTGTTAATTTATTGTTTGCCCAGTGCCACATAAATTTACAAACTCCTAAGGGTTCAATCCAAACCACTGGGGAGGAAAGAAAGGGGAAAAATTTCCTTAGGTCTTCATTTTAATACTAAGGCTGTGCCACTCTTATTCTTTCCCAATCATCTTCAAACACGTCACAGGTTTCAGGGACTAGGTGGCTTTTCTCACAGATTAAATTCACTATTTCATACCTTGCTTGTTCAACCCCTGGGTTATAGTATATTTGTAATTCAGGGGTACACGCATGACATGTGGATCTCTGCCTATATGAAATACAAAACCACCTCCTCTGACACTTCAAGCATTGGAGAACCCAAGCTATGTGCCAGTCTGGCTTCCAGCAAAAGGCTGTCAATCCGCACACAAAACAGGGGATTACCCCCTCTAGACCCCACCTCAAGGGGTTTCTCAGCATCTGTTCAACTGGTGGTTGTTGCCAGTCAAAGGCTAGATAGTAACTTGTTGAACTTTGGTACATTCCTCCTAAGAACACTCTGTCTCTCCCTCCATCTTCCCATTCTATGACTCCCCAGTCCCCTGATGGATGAAGCGTGGTTCAAGCTGAAACCACCTGTGTAGAGCCTGTCTTGAAGGCTGGGCTCTCTTGGCCCAGGCTTGAAGTTCTGCAGCCACTGTGGGCAGATGGCCTCTCACTTGTAACAAAACCTATCAGCAAACCCTGTAATGCAAAGGATCTCTCAGTGACAGCTTGTAACACTGAAGGGCAGTTTTATCGCCCAACAAACACTTAACTCTTAGCCCAGTCAAGCTTGCTGGTTACCTTTAGCTAGATCTTGCCCCTTACTTACCAGCGATACTTGTAAGTGATGCTTGGAAGTCTTGACTTGTACCACGCCCTTACTAGCTGCACCATCAGCTAACAGCATCCAAAGCAACTTCACAAACCACACCTTGTGTCTGTGTGCCTGCTGCACTTTCAGCAGGCTGCACTTCAAGCAACTCCACAAACCACGGCTTGTGCCCGTGTGCCTGCCGTGCTATTGGCAGGCTGCACTTAGAGCACCTTTGCAAGTCTCAGCTTAAGCCCTGCGCCACATTCTCTCCGCTCGCCAGAGCAGATATGCCAGCTCTCGCCGTGCCACTTGGGCTTTCCAGCACTGCCGCGCCGCTCTTAGCAACACCGTGCTGCTCCCAGCAACTCCACACCGCTCACGCTTTCCAGCAGTGTTGGAAAGCGCTCCACTGGTTTATTCACACAGGCACACACACACATACACAAGCATGCACATCCGGCTGTAACAGACACACCACACTGAAATTGGGACACACCACACTGAAATCGCGATTTCCTCCTTCCCCAGGTTGCGCTATCAGCTCAGGGGGTTTCTCCCGCTGCCAGTCTCAGCTCTGGCAGGTGGCCTGCTTGCAAGCCCCTGGGCAAAACTGTGTGCAAAAATGTCTTAATGCAACTTATCAGTGCCAACCTTAAAAAGAGAAATTAATACATACCAAAAGCCAGGGACCTCATAAAAAGGGAAAGCTGGCCAGACAGAACGCACATCCAGCCAATATGATTAATGCAATGTTCTCCATTTATTCGAGAGAAGATGGCAGTTTTTATACACTTCTACATAGTTTACAGTTTTCAAAGGCACTCTGATTGGCAAGCTAACATTGTTTATCTTTGTCTTAAGGTGGCCTAAACCTTACACTATAAACCTATACTATTTCACACCCAGACAGCCCAGTGCTTCCCATCGCCCCTTAATACAATTTCAAACTGCACCACAAGCTCTTAATTTTTAACTCCATTAGAGGCTGGAAGGCCTCGCAAGATTTTCATGGAGCCCAGAAGGACTTGGGTAGAGGGACCTTCATTCTCAACATGCTCATCCCTTGTTTTTCCCCAACCAGGATTTCCCATTCCCAACCCTTGGCTGCATGGAGAAAGTGGCTGCAAGGAAGAGTAAGATGCCCCAGGACACCCAGGCAGGGGAGGAGGAAGTCAGTGCCCCTTTCCCTCTCTCTCCTGCTCCATCTCCCAGCCCAGCATAGTCCCCGGCAGGACAACCCCCCTGACGACACCATCCTGCCTGGGACGCACTGGGGGGAATCTCCTTCCCCTCCCCTCTGGCAGGGAGACAAATTCCATCCTCTCCTTGTCCTTCCTCCTGCAGACAAGGAGCTGATGATGGAGACCAGGGAGGACAAATGCCCTCAGCAGAGCCTTGTGGAAGAGGCCATTTTGAGCAGCTCCATGGCGCAGGAATCCAATGGGGAGGAAAAGCCCCAGAGATCCCACAGGAGGAGGGGCGGCAAACCCAGCCCAGGGTGCTCTGAGGAGGAAAGACTCACCCTGTGCGAGGAAGGTGGACAGAGCTTCAGCCAGAGCTCACAGCGGGTGGCCCCTGAGCAGGTTCACGATGGGGAGAAGCCCTACAAGTGCTTGGAGTGTGGGAAGAGCTTCAGGCAAAGCTCCAAACTGATCCGCCACCAGATGATCCACACTGGGGAATGGGCTTACGAGTGTGGGGAGTGTGGGAAGGGCTTCAGCTGCAGCTCAGAACTCATCAGGCACCAACGCATCCACACCGGGGAGAGGCCCTATGAGTGTCCCGAGTGTCAGAAGAGGTTTTACACGAGCTCCAGCCTCCTCCTGCATGAGCGGATTCACACGGATGAGAGGCCCTTCCGCTGCCCCGACTGTGGGAAGGGCTTCAAGTACAGCTCCTCCCTTGTCTCCCACCGGCGCATCCACACTGGGGAGAGGCCCTACAAGTGTGGGGAATGTGGGATGAGCTTCAGCTGCAGATCCCACTTGATCAGCCACCAGAGGATCCATACTGGAGAACAGCCCTATGAGTGTGGGGAATATGGGAAGAGTTTCAGCTGAAGGTGCCAACTGATCATCCACCAAATGAACCACACTGGGGAGAGACCCTACAAGTGTTCCAAGTGTGGGAAGAGCTTTAGCCAGAGCTCTACCTTGACCCAACACCAATGGAGGCACGGCTAAAGGAAGCCTTGTGAGTGCCCTGACTGCAGGAAGAGCTTTGTACCCTGCTCCAACTCCATCCTCCATGGGAGGACCCACATTGGTCAGAGCCCTGGTGACCCACATTCCCAGTGATCTCTGCTGAGAAGACACCTGCAAGGTGGTCTCCACATCATCCTGGATCCCCATAGACAACTGGTGAACTCAGCAGGAATATCCCTCAGGACTCTGATCAACATTGGAAATTAGTTGAGAAGAGCAGTTTCTTTGACTTTACAGCCCAAAAAGTCTCACCTGCTCTGTCATTTTTTCTGCTGATGGCATCAAGCAACAATGGATGATCTTGGAGATCTTTTCCTACCTGAATAATTTCCATGTTTATCCCATCAAAACACCTGGAATTGGAGTTAAAATAAAGAAAGTAAGCAAAGAGAGCTAAAGCTGAATCATTTTACTAGGATTTGAGTGTGAATTTGGGGTTCACAGGAAGTTTCAGGAAGGAATTAGGTGTTCTGGGACCATCCAAGCCAGGAGACATGGCCATGTTCTAGTAGTTGTTCCAGCAGAACATGTCTATCTGACCCCATCTGTTCTCCAGGAATTGCAGTTGTCTGTCCCGGTCCCTGGCCTAGGTCTGCCCATCCAGGGTGTCCCCCACAAAGTGCCCAAATCGCTACTGAAGTGCCTGAACTGATCCTGACTGTGGATTCTCCTGTCCACCAGCCTCTTCTGGTCAGCTCCATGGAGAGCTGGGAGGGGTTTTAGGGACTTCTGGTGGGACTGAGAAAGACTTTTGTGGCTCTTGGGGCCATTTGTGGTGCTGGGAGGGGGTTTGGGGGCCTGCTGGAGGTAACTGGGATATACTGGGAATGAGTGAGGTCATCCTGGGGGCAAGTGGAACCATAGTGGGGAATCTGGGGTGGGGGAATGAGCATGCTGGGGGCAACTGTGATATACTGGGAGTGTCTAGAACCATACTGGAGGAGACAACACTGGGAACAGCTGGGACCATGCTGGGAGCAACTGGAGGCAACTGGGAGTGACTGTGTCTATACTGGGGGCCACTGAAGCCATACTGGCAGTGTGTGGGACTGTGCTAGGGGTGACTAGGTGCAACTGGGATCGTGCTGGGTGGAACTGGGATGACACTGAGGGGGATTAGGTTTGTACTGGGAGTGACCAGGAGCATGCTGAGGGCAATTTGGACCAAGTTGGGGACAACTGGGATATACTGGGAGCAACTGGACTGCACTGAGGGCGACTTGGTGTGGCTGTGGGCAACTGGAATCATGCTGGAAGCAACTGGGAGGAAGAGGGAGTGACTGGGAGCATGCTGGGATCAACTGGGATATACTGAGAGGGACTGGGAGTCACTGGGATCATACTGGCAGTGACTGGAACCATGCCAGTGGCCTGTGCTGGGTGATGTGGGGCCTCAGGGAGCACAGAGAGCACTGTGACACTGTGGGGCCTGATGGAACCAAGGGGACATTGTGACACTCTGGGCCCAGCCTGGCTGTGGGGTATTTCGGGAGCCCTGGGGTGCCCAGGGCAGCAGAGCAGAGCCCCTGGCTCAGGGACAGCAGCTCCCTGGGACACCCTGGGCGTGTGGGCAGCAGGGGATGCCCAGGGAGAAGACGAAGCCAAGGCCCAGCGCCCCAAAGGCGGCACCGGCTGAAGGACGGGACAGGAGGGAGAGGCCGCTGCTGGGATGGCACTGGGGCTGCCCAGCACTGAGTCAATGTTGTGTGACATCACAGGGCCTGTATGACATTACAGAGTGGGCTGTGACATCACAGGGGGCTGTGTGACATCACAGCCATGGCTGTGTGACATCACAGAGTTGGCTGAGTAACAGGTCAAAACTGGCTGCGTGACATCAGAGATTGGGCAGTGATATCACAGAGGCTCTGTGAGGTTACAGGACAGGGTCACTCTGCCCCAGTTTCCCCTCCCAGTTCCCCCCAGAGAAGTCCAACACTGCTCGTGCACAGTGGGGTCCCCTGTCCCGCAGGTCCCCCCACCCCCAGCGCCGCAGCCTCCCCCAGAGGATGTTCCACGAGATCTACCCCAGAGCATGACACTGGGGCTGTGGGGGTGGGACAGGGGATGCTGCCCCCCAGCAGCATCCCTGTGTCTTCCAGGGCCAGAGCCCTGGCCAGGGCTCCTTCACCCTGTTACAAACAAGGGCTTGAGAGCACTGAAAAAAATCCCCGGCAAGGGATCAGCAAAAACCAGATTTAATATTAAGCGACAGCACCACAAAGTTCCTTGGCAAGAGTCACTCTGCTCCTGACTGGACACTTCAGGCACACCAAGGAAACAAAGCAACAACAAAAATAAACAAAATCCAGGCAATCAAACAAAAAATGATCAGAGGACTGTCCCTATGTGTGTGTGTGTGTGTCACAAGGACAGTGAGGGCAAGGATAAAAGGAATACAGTCAAAAAAGCTGAACAGAGTTCAAATTTAACAGGACTTAACTTATACCTTAACCTTAAGTTCTACCTTCAACTTCACAATTTAGCAAAATAACAGCACTTTATAGTATTTAACCTAACTTATAACCTCCGACTTTTCAATTTAACAGAGGAATAACATTTAACAATACTCAGCTTAAAACTTACATTAAACATAACAACTTAGCAAAAGAACAACTCTTAGAAGCATTTAACTTAGCTTAGACCTTGTGATTTTATCTAACAGGTCTGACTGGCTCAGCTATCCAAGGCACTCAGAGCCCTCAGAGAGCAGCATTTCTGTCACATTTCCCCAGCACAGGCACTCCTGTGTGCACACAGACACAGAGAGTCAGTGCAAGGCACCTGTGAGAAATTCCCCTGAGGGCAGGGGGAATGCTTTGCGGATGCTTTGGCATCTCCCCAGTGGGGAAGGGTTGAGCCTGGAGGAGTGGGGGATCAGCCCAGGCTCCCTTGTTGTTCGGAATCCCCCCGAGTGCAGCAAACGGGAGAGTTCCCGGCTCAGAGAGGCCCCACTCAGAGGGAGTCGCTGGCCCAGGAGAGCTCCAAGGGCTCCTTTTGGAGCGCTGTTTGTAGGGCCCCAGAGAGGGGCTTCAGTCCCAGCAATGTTTCATCCTGGCCACACTTGGCATCAGCAGCTTTCTTTGGCAGGCTGAGAACAGGGATGTTGTGCCACTGAGGGAACACAAACAGTTCCCAGGGCTGCTCCTAAAGTAACCAGGAGCTGGCTGGGCAGCAGCAGTGCCTGGAGCAGACAGGGTTTGTGATGAGCTCCAGAGGAGCTGAGCCCAGGGGCTGCTGGCCAAGGCCGAGGCCCAGCAAGCATTTCTCAGCTGGCAGGGCGGCCTGAGAAGGGGAGGGGGGAATGCACCAGCACAGGAACCATGGAACCAAGGGACCATTGTGACACTGTGGGGCCTGTGAGACCAAGGGACCACTGTGACACTGGGGGGCTTGTGAGACCAAGGGACCATTGTGACACTGTGGGACCTGTGAGACCAAGGGACCATTGTGACACTGTGGGGCCTGTGCAACCAAGGGACCATTGTGACACTGTGGGGCCTTGTAAGACCCACAGTGAGGGCCTCATGGAATCACAGAGAGCATTGTGACATTGCTGGGCCTCATAGAACCAAGGGCTCCATGGAGCGTAGGGATCATTGTGACAGTGAGAGGCCCCATCAAACCAAGGGTCCATTATGATACTGCAGGGCCTTATGGAACCATGGAAACCATTATGACACTTTGGAGTGTCATGGAACCAAGGAGACCATTGTGATACTGAGAGGATTCATGGAATAATGAAGACCATTGTGAAACTATGAAGCCCCATGGAATAAGCAAAGCTGTGACACTGTGAGGGCCCACGGAACCAGTGAGACCATTGTGACCCTGGGGGTCCTCACAGAACCAAGAGGACCATTGTGATACTGTGGGGCCTCATGAAAGCAAGAGGCCTTTGTGGCACTGCAGGGCTGCAGGGAACCAAAGGTCCATTGTGACATTGTGAGGCCTCATGGAAAAGAGAAGTCACATGACACTGTGAGGCTGGGGAACCACAGAGACCATTGTGACACTATGGTACCCCATGGAACCAAGGGAATACAGAACAGGTCTGGCTGGTTTGGCCTCCCAGGGGCAGCCTGACAGCTGACCTTGGCATGTTGAGGGTCTCTTCTAATCTGCTATTCAAACAATGGAACTCTGGGCTTTCCTTCCTGTGGAAAAGATCTCTCATCCCCCTCCAGGCATCCATGGAGAGAATTGGGATTTCATCTCCAAATGTCCTTATATACAGGGATTGATCCCATAGGAATATTGCCATGACAAGTCTGGCTGGCAGTGGTTTCCAAAGGTTCACCTCCCATCTGTCCACAAAACTCTGGGTAAAGCTCTGTGCTTTCTTTCCTATGGGAAAAAACTGTCCTACTTCTCCAGGCGCCCATGGCTGAGATTGGGGTTCCACTTCCAAAATTCCCTGTATCCAAAGACTGCTCCCAGACAAAATCAACCAATACTGACATGTCTGGCTGGCCTTGGCCTATTGAGACTCTCACCTGCCTTCCAAACACTGGGGCTCTGTGTTTATTTTGCTATGGAAAAGAACTGTCCTTCTCCAGGTGCCCATGGCCAAATTTGGGTACCACTTTCAACATTTCCTATTCTGAGAGACTGGAAGAGATTGTTGTCTCAAAACATTTCTTGTGTGGGGGAGGAAGGGGTAGGTCCAGCCTTGCCCTGCCCTGGAACCCCAGCACTGCCCTGCCCTGGAACCCCAATCCCCCCAGAGCCTCTATCCCAGCCCAGCAGTGTCTGCCAGTCCCTGGCACAGCACAGGCAATGCTCCACAGCCACCTCTGGAGCCCCCAGCTCAGCTCCTGAGTGACCAAATGACCCCAAGTCCTACCTGGGGGAAGAGCCCAAGAAGACCAAGGGGTATTTAAGGCTGACCATGAAGCAAATGCACATCTTGACCTTGCCTCCTTTTGGAATTTCTATATAAACATCACTGGAATCCAGGGGATGGTAGCTGTGTGTGTGCTTCTCTGTATATTTTTTGTCTTACTGTGTCTTCTTCTGTTTCTGTGCCAAAAATTTTTATTAACATTAAATTGAACAGGCTTAATAGTTTGTGAAGTTGAATGGGCCAAGTCAATGCTTTGGGAAGTATGTTTTGTTGATTGAATATCTGTCGTAGTTTGACATCAGAGGAATTTTAAAAAGTAATACAAAACTTTTTGTGTAACTGACAATCTGTTAAACCACTGAGATACTGAACTGAGGGCTCTGTGAAACACATATGTTAAAGATGAAAAAACCCAGGAACCTTCTCTTTCTTTTCCAGTCAACAAAGAAGTAGCGGGCTCCGGCCCCCATTTCAAACAAACCAAACTAAGCAACCCTGCCCCAGGCCGAGCCCCTTCCCCCTCCCCGGGCCACCCACCCCCATTGG